CGTTTCCATTTACGACCTGACTTTAAGGATCAAATCATATCGTAAGTGCAGGGACTGCTTATTCACAGATCATATCCCACAAGTTGGAACTGAATTTAACAGATTATTCGAATTAATGCCGTCTGTTCCTCAATACTTTCGTCTCATGATATTCGGGATGTTGCTGTCATTTCAGGAGTCCGGTAATGTTTTCTGCTTTTCCGAAGGTGAGGGCCATGAGGCTAGTAGATTATGCTATATCTGGAATAAACATGGATCGTTGTCCTGAACATTTCCTCAAAACCGATGAAATAATTCAAAAAACTGCTTAATCGATTCATTAATGCAGATAAGTTTCATTGTGAATCTGTCCTTCTCCTGGCCCATAGATCACAACCGCGACAGTTTTGACATATAATAAAGATGTCACAGGAGAGACTCGCCAAGTACATTCATTTCAACCACAGGGTAGGCGTCCCAGGCGCAGAATGTGAGTCAAATGGCTCAAACACCGTTCCCTGTCGCACTTCAGAATCCGGATCATTGCGGACAACAGGAACCACGGAATACCCTTCCTGAAGTAGCATACTTGCGAACTGAAGGGGCTAGGACCATCAAAAAGGAATGATTAAAATGCCTAAGCCTAGAAGTTAACTTTTGGAGAAGAGGTTGAACAGACAATCCCACACGTTTATTTTACAGAAGTGAGTGATAAAATTAAGTTTGAAACCAACACAGTTGTTAAATGAGTTATTTGTATTATTATTCTAAAAAGCGTAAATCCCACTCCAGCTATTTAAAATACGGCATAGTACTACTCCCGGATTCTAGATGATTAGGCACCATTTAAGTAGATCAGGATATTGTAGCACCCATTTATTTTTCCTCATTTTATTAATGTAAATCTATACATCGCTGTTTGGGTGCTTTTCAGAAGTAAATAAATGCGTTGTGCGTAGTGCACTTAGTGGAAAGAGTTCACAGGTAATCATGAATCGTAGAAGCCGCCTTATGGCACACAGATGGGTTTTGAGAGGGATTTCATATTTCTTAAATTGTTATGCTTTTGTTTGGATTTGTTGAGATCACCTTGAGCCGTTCGCATAAGTAGAAGGTTTCTCGTTTGTGCTGTCTACTGTATACGCAGCTTTTCTACATTTTTGCTATTAGGCGCCGGTTATTGCATAAAAGAATGAAATATTCCTGTCCAAAAACAGATCAGCCTCTACTCTGTTTCTTCCAGTTGCGTGCAGGCCTCCTGGTCGACGTATGCGGTGTTTAGGCTCTGACACAAGAAGCTCACGAGCTGGGGTGAACGGTGTATGCTTAAACAGTTTATCTAAAAAGGCCAGTCTCCTGTTAATCCCTACATCTACCGAGGCCAAATGTGCCCAAAAGTCAATAGTCATTTTTTACGTGCTCCTGTTATTTAACGTTCATTTCATGTCGAAGCCAACGCTGCTGTACGTAGTTCAGCTGTCGTTTTTACTTTACTTGATAGAACATCTGTCTCCTAGTTGCACAGCAACATTAATCTAACGAAGATAAGATACAGGCGGATCTTCGTGGAAATTATAACTTCTTTCTCAGCCACAATCGTAGACAGGTTTCCAGAAGTTCTCGAGGCTAGTACGATCTTCCAATTTAACTTTGGCGGGATAGTGCCGTCGCTGGGGAAGTTTGAGTCCAGACATTTAAACTGATCAACCTCTGGAACGCTTAATTCTCATGTTGTTCTTGTAGAGCAACTGTGCCGGATGGATTCCTCATCACTTTTGACTTCTGGATGTTAAGGAAGACGATGCTTTCGCAGTTGTGTTGCACGTGACGCAGCCTGTTTCTTTTGTTACTCGTAAGGGCAATATCATCCGCTTATCCCAAGTCAGCAAGATATTTAGCCAGATGTCTTGAACTGCGCCTTCCATTTAAAACGACACCTTAGTCTTTGTCAGGGTCAGAACTGCTTCGGAGAAAGAAGTCGAGAACAATGTTGAATATAAAGAACAAAAGCACTTTTCCTTGGCAAACTCTACAGTTAATTGAAACCATTCAGCTAGCTTTACTTCAAGTTTGACAGCAGATATGGTTTCTGCATACAACTTTTTTCAAAGTGATGTGTTCAGATCTCCCATAGCATTTTACCATTGACCACAGCGTTGGACTGGACAATGCAAGGAATCAAATATAGCCTTAAAGTCAAGGAAATTATCAAGTCAGTCAACAAAATCATCGTAATCTGCTCTATGTTTCTACATAGAATTAAAATCTGATCGGAACAGGAGTAACTCTCTCCAAAAGTCTAGTTGATTTTGGCTACGTCAGCCATTAAGTCTTCGCCTGAGCATTTTCTCGCTATTCGAGGTAAAAGATTTTTCGGAATTGACAGTAGTGTGATAGCACAGTAATTGGAAAATAAAATGGTGGTTGCTCCACATTTCTACTGTCGTGGGTAAAGCTTGTATGCTTCTGCATTTGATGGATGGACCTCTTCTATTATTCCCGTTTCTCCTTATTTAGTTAACTCTCGGGGAATTCGATCCACCCCGCAGGCATTCATCACCTTAAGGTACAGCGAGGCTTTTTGGATTTCCAGTTTTATGGGTGGATCAGTCGTAACCTATAGCCTAAGGAAAAAATTAACGGTCAGAAATGATGAATCTGCGGGGCAGCCGGGAATGCTGGAAATGTTTAGCTCACCTTTTGAGACGTTTTCTTCTAGCCTGCTAATAGGGCACAGCGTCTTGATAAGGACAGACTAAGTTTCCTGCTTATCAGACAACTGTCGCACCCCTTTAAACGCTGTTGAGAGCCACCCTGTCTGGTTTCCTTATCGATCTTCCTGATTTCCCCTCGAATTAATGTCCATCGCTGGAGACCAGCTAGTTGGTAATACAAGTATGAGGAAAAACGGTGCGGCCGACAATTAAGCTGTTTGGTGCGCAGAAGGATTAAAAACATTTTCCGTTTTCGTTCGTGCTGTCAATAGGGTGACGCCAGAGTACGCCTGTCCATGTGCTGTACTCGGTGCACCTTCGTCTTGAGGAGGTCTGCGACAGTTGTGACGTCAGAAGCGGTGATAAAAAGCGTCTTTGCCGCTGTCATTCGATATATTTGTCAGAGCATAGGCGACAATGGCATTCAGCGTCGTCTGTTTCACATTCATGCAATAGACCATGGTTGTCTTAAACATCTCTTCCACCGAAATGACCGATCGGCTTATCCTAGGAGACAAAATGATGCTCACACTTGGCAGGGCCTGACCACCGAATTGACCTCCCATCCTGCAGTAGGAAAGCTTCCGTGACCGCTATGTATCTAATTTGCACCAACGGACCGTGCAATAGACATCGTTCGACTTAGTTTTGCCAGTCAGGAAAGGAGCGTTCCATCAAGAGAATTTTTTTCTTATAACGTTGACTGATTTAACAACGGATTTCTTGGTTCCTGGTT